AAACGCAAACTCGTGACGCCAGTTGCAAATTCTGTATTTGCAAGAACAACATCACATGGAAAAAATCGAGTTTTCAGCAGTTCTTGTTTCGCGTGCTGAATTTAACGTTCTCATAAAAGGAACTCCTCTTCTTTGAGTTCAAAACATTCATTCAAAAACACTACTATAACTCCGTTATTCTCTACCTAGATGAACCGTTGGCGCTTGCAAATTAGTCAAGTAATCAAACAGGGTCCGGTCTACTTCTTACCATAGGATAAAACCTAGGCGAAAGAAAATAGTTTAGTAGATTTCCAATTGACTCTGTCGTTTATGATGCCCTCCAACTTAATGTGTTGTCACAAGGTTGCTGAAAACTCTTCGACAGCCCATGACCGGTTTCGCCCTTCTTGGGGCTCATCAGGTAGGCACAGTCCCCGAGTTTCCGTCAACCTTATGTTCTACTTGAACCCAAATTATTGGCTCGGGCATCACTAGACAAATAAAGTTTTCTGGTAATAATTTCTGCCGATGGGCCATCCAAATATTGTCATACTGTCTGCGGATTAATTCGAATGCAAGAATGTACTGTGTGCAGCACATTCAGTTGGAGGACATCATAAACGAAAGATTCAATTGAGTCTCCCATGAAAACCAAATTGATTTGCAAATGGGTGTATTTCTCGAAAACAGTCCAATTTGGGTTCAAGTAGGTTGACGGAAACTCGGGGACTGCACCTACCTGATGAGCCCCAAGAAGGGCGAAACCGGTCATGGGCTGTCGAAGAGTTTTCAGCAACCTTGTGAGTAGTTTCCTTTATGAAGTTTAGTAGATTGATAACGAAAGTATAACGATGCAAGACGAATTATTTCTAGAGGACTCTGAAAAATTGTATTTCTGAAACTCCCTAGACAACTATGGGAAGAAGACGTGAGACAACAAGTAAATTGCTGCATTCATCTAAGTTCCATCCAAAAAAGCAGAACTTATCTGCGTTTAGGCGGCCTGAACAAGCGGAAGCACGACAATTCATCAGAATCTGAGCTTTGAAATTGAACAACAAATTTTTCTCAAATCCTGTTACGATAGTGATCACGGCGACCTCTAAATGGTGATAAGCACACGAAAAAATTGGTCAAAGTTATTCCACAATGTAGTGTGGTAAGATGGCACTGTGATAGAACTACGGCCGTTGAATTGCCAGAAGATTCCAACAATGTCCACTCTGCGCAGAGCTTTTGGAAACTGAAACGTACATTTCCTCGAATTTTTATGACGTAATAGCCATGAGGAGTTGGCCCAAAGAGGAGTATAAACTAAGCCAACGTAGTCTGGTCAGTACACCAACTTACACAGCTTTTTGAATGTGAATTGACAAGGAAACTGCGTTATACTACTTGCTAACAAGGTTCGCACAATGTGTTTAAGCGACAAAATGGACAGTGAACAGCAGGTCATCCGTAAAACTCTGATGTAAAATCGTCATTTTGACAGTTTGTACAAAGGCATTCAGGTCAACATGCAGTAGTGAGAGAACCAAGCCCAACAGGCTTAAAAACGGTGTATATATTCAGCCGCTGTTTGAAAACGCCATTGCTTTAGAAAAGGTGGTCTGCCTGCATGAGGGCGTTGAATGCAGCGTTGCTGATTCAACAGCGGCAGCTGATTGCTCAATACAAATTGGTGGGCAAACACACCCTTTCCAGTTGATCCAGGTGGAGTTACTACGAACCCTGTCAGTGAATCAAGCAAGTCAAGCATGAATCAAGCCTTTTGAGAGAAAACACGCATCCGCATCATCCAATGTTAAACATATTTAACAAACTTGCTTGATTTTTTAACCACTGGTTGGTCGCACCCTGATCGATAGCTCTGCTGTTCATTGGCTTCTGTATCTGAAATTAGCGACAATTTTCTGGTGCGCAGCAGGAAAATAACGCCTAAAACAGATGTTTCTAAGACAGCCTTTTGATCAAACAGGTTGTTTAAAGTTCCCACGATGGAGATTAAAAAACAGCAACAACATAATGCATTTTCCACGTCTGCTGACGCGTTGAACAAATAAGTTTTTTTATGAACTATATTCAGCCTCTGTCAGCGAAAAAGAAATGAACCTGAAAACCTTGAGGATGATGCTTTGGGGTACACTTCCAGAAAAAGTTTTTCTTCTGCGCTATGGGACATAAAACAATCAAAAAGGATTTTTCAATTAACAGGTTCTTCCTTGGTAGCTGTTAACACCCAGCAGTTCTGCTGTACGCAAAACACATGAAGTGGCTGCCTAAAGTTAGTACCTTCCCGAATATGGGGCATTTCAGCGCCGAAACGAGAATGATCTGTTCCAGGGAGGGATGGGGTACAAGAAGAACAGTTCCGTCTTTGTTGATCACATCTACACAGTCAGTATTAATGTTTGGACTGCATTTGCCAGCGAAATTTGAAATATATATACGCCGGAGCGGGCCTATCCAGGCTACACTTGTTATACAGCTTTCCTTCAGTTCTTGCGTGTATTGTTTGATTGTTCACCAAGTAGTATCTGAGTTCTGTAAGTTCAACACTCGCTTGTAGTTAGATCCTAAAATGTTGATTGCAAATCTGCATAGCTTGATCAGCATCTCATCTGTTTCATGGACCGTCAAACCACACTTCTTCCCGTTTGAATTCTCAATCGATTTTTCTCCTATGAGTACTCTACAGAAAAAACTCTTGGGTACTCTTCTTAGTCAGTTGTTCGCATTGATACATAACTACTGTGTATTTCTGCCTATTCGCTGAGCTAGGTAATTTGGTTTTGAAAGATTCATTACCAGTTGAGAGAAGCATGGCGTTTATTCGTCTAATTTATTGATTTTAGTGGCCCGAGCGACAGGGAGAGCTGTACGAAGACCTCGTTTTAGCATAAACACGAAGGTGCCCGACACATGAATGCAGGAGGAGATGCGTGTTTATAATGTTTGTTTTTGTTTTCGTATGCGACATGCGTAGGGTAGGATGAGAAGACTACGGGGTCAACTGGTCACACAGCAGTTGCACGGGAGGGCAGGTGTTCCGACGCACAACCGTCGAACATGAGACCTTCAGGATTTTTTACAGATTCTACAGATTTTTTACAGATTTTTACAGATTTATTTTACAGTCCTGGGCAAGTTTAATGCTATGTTCTTCACGGTACATGCCTAAAGTACCCAATATTTGACCAACCGACAACTCTGAAGTTAACATTCAACACTACTCAACAGAGTTTAGACTTTCCTAAAAAGTGAAGTACTCTTTACGGGTGATTAAATTGCTCGTCTGGTTCAGATCGTGTAGCATGGGGGCTGCTTCAAGAAAATTACTTCTCCAGAGTAGTTATACTAACACATTTATTTGAAACTGACAAGAGCTCATGTATTCGGATGACCAAGTGTATCTCGTGGCTAATCTGAATAGTGGCAAGTCAGATTTAATTAATGGCCTTTATCGTCTGGTTCATTCTGGTTACAGCGTTTAGCACTCCAGCCGTCAGAAATTTGTGACCGCTGCTCCAGGGGTCACAAAAACGATTCACAGGCCGCAACAATTTGCCCGTTTGCGAGAATTTCTCAATAGGGATAAATCAGAGGCCAAAAACATAATAAATGATCCAAAAACTCGTTTGCAATCTGCTAAAATGTCACCTAGTTGCACTGCAGACCTGTGTGGGGACTGCAACACAGTTTGAATGGTTCTCTTCCTTGGGGTTCTGCTTAGTTTGGTGTACAGGACTGTGTAATTAGGACGGTAATGTGGACACCATCTTGATGTTTTCCAGATGGGGTATGGCAAAGTGATCGATATTCGGTATGCTATGAATGTCCACTCAGTTTGGTCTTGAAGTAGACTGGGTTACAGCTTTAGTCGGAAAACTGAATTAGCTAGCAGCTTATCCAGATCCAGTCTAAATATCTTGTGTGCAAAATGGACATCAAAGATTTATTACCCATGTAAAAAGGCAGCATGAAATTTATCGTTAACTGCTAACACATGTCTTAAACAGAAGAAAAACGGTAACGAACTGTTGACGGTTTTCGATGAATTCCGTCAAGCTTCATTTCTCAAGAGTCCTCTCTTTCGCCCTAGCAGTAATTAGTCGGGGACCCAATCATTCTGGAACCGCGTGACGTAGATTGTGTGAATGAAGGCGATTACCCCCGCGGTCTTTTAAATATGAACAAATGACGCTGCTGATCAGCCGTTTAAGAACCACTCACCTAATAACCGGTCCTCATAAGTAATCCCATCTTTTCCAAGAATGAACCCCTGTTGCAGTTTCATGGTCTCTTCCACAAAACAACAGAGGTTACGTGAAAAAAACATATTGTTTGGGACAAATCAGTCGACTGACTCTTGCACTGTAAAACAATGTCAGAATAGAACAAAAAGAGGATGGAGCCTATTTACCCTTTGAAATAGCAACATATCAGTAGAAGCAAATGCGCATTTTTCTACTTGAGTCAGGCATTTTCTTATGCACAGTAATTGTTTGGAATAATTTTGGATACGGGGCATCACACAGAAGTGGAAATTTGTTGCAAAAATGTTTTCATCAAATAAGAGCTTTCCACAAATCCCTGATTTGAAGTGGCAGTTGCAGGTGACAGCTCCCTAAATAACACTCTGAAGGATCAAGTACACACTATAACTTGGTGTACTGTTCAAGCCTCCTTCATCAATCGCTAGTGAATACTGATAGTCCTGTTCATAAAGTTGAGACGGAAAAATTTAAGGTGCCGTTT